TTTTACTTTACACAATATTGATGTTTTTATCTATTTGGCCTAAAATACTGATTACAGACTGACAATATACAGAATGTCTTACCCTAGATAGGTTCATTGGTACTGCCAATATACAGTGAATTTAAGTTAGAAAAAAATTCTCAGAAATATTTTAAGCTTATTTTCATTCCACAGAATAATTTAATTGATGTAAATGTAGATAGACTGCTGCTCTGTTCAAATAGTTCATGTTTTTAATTTCCCAGGAGAAGAATCCGTATTTCCATAATGTTGGCAAGATTTATCAAGCCAGTGTTTTCCAAACCCAATAATTACTAAAGAGATAAGATGTCCAAATGCAACAGAAGACGTGGCAGGTTCAGAAACTAGAAGTTCATTGTGACTTAACCAGACATGTAAGAGATGAAGGTGGGAAGGCAACACAGACACAGTTGTGAAGGCTTTTATGCCATGCCAAGAACAACAGAGAGCCATGAAGGCCTTGAAGGAGGGGAGTAAGGTGATCATCAGATCCACAGATTGGCCAAGGAAATCAAACAAAAGCCAGGAAGATCTGTTAGAGACTGTTGCATTAATAGAGAAGAGAGGATCATGATTAGACGAAGGTGGTAGCAGTGGGAACAGAAAAGAGTGGAGAAGTCCAAGGGATTATTTAGAAGGGAATTAACAGTATTGGTGACTGACTGGATGAAGAGTAAAGGGGGAGAAATCTGAGCTACTGCCTGACTTCTGATTGGTGCCAGTGAAACATGTGATATCTGTTCACTGAGCTAGAGAACACAAGGAAGAACAAGTTTAGGAAAGAAAATGATGAATGTAGGGTGGATGTGGTCGATGGGAGCAGAAAGCAGATTGCAGTGGGTTGAGGAGTGAGTGAAGGGTGAGTAGAGAAAAAAATATAGGTAATTCTTTCAAGGAGACTGACTATAGCAAAGGAAGAGAGGGGGCAGTAGCAAGAGAGGAACGTAAGAAAGATTTCCTCACATGTTTAAATGATGATGTGAAGAGGGAAAGACTGAATGCAGGTGTGAATGGGAATCACTAGAGGAGCAAGTCCTCTGAGTAGAAAGAAATAAAGGAATATAAGTGGAATTCAGAGTACAGGTAGCTGCCAACAGGAAAAGGGACTCCTCCTTTCACTGAGACAGAAAGGAGATTGGAGGTGGGGAGAAGAGGACTGCATGCTTTTAACACTCCCCAAGTGATAGCAAGACAATGAGAGCATTTCCTAAGTAGTGACCTCTAGTTTCTCTGAGAAGTTGGCCAAATCATTTGCTGAGGACAGATAGAAAGCCAGTGAGATAGACTTGTAGAGAATATAAACGGATTGAAATAGCCACAAAGTGAAATAAAGGAGAGCTCTCTAGCCTAGCAGCAGGGTGTGGGCAAGGCTGAGGACCCTGTTAAAGGTGGAGACCATTAATTTCTGCTGGTGTCACTATGTGCAGTTGTATGATTTTCTCCAGGCTGCCCTTGGAGAAGGCCTTCCACAGCCCCAGGGAGCTGAGGGTGTGAGCAAGAGAGAGGCTGAAGCAATTTAGAGTCTGCATCCTCAGTGCCATCACTGCATGCCTGATATTTGTCTGAGTATTTCACATACATTATTTCACCTGTTCTAAGAAAGTCATATAGGAGTCTTCCCTTTATACAGCTGGAATTTGAGGAGATTAATAAGGGACTTAGTCCAGGTTATATATATTAGAAATTGAAGAGGTAAGATTCAGATTCAGGTTTCTATTAAAAGATTTAAATGGTCACAGAGTTTCTGAAAGAATTAGTCCCACAGTTCCCTGGTAGGTGGTTGGGTACACTGAATGGGCTTTCAAGGAATTAGCACTAGACCAGGAGACCAGAGGGACAGAAGACACATTAAGTAGATACTACCACATGTTAGGAGAAACTTATCAGTTAGTGAGGGAGCATGTGGATAAATTGTGATTTGTTTGAGTTGTTTTTTAAATTGATTTGGTTGGTTTTTGGTTTTTTACTTTTACAGTTAGCCAAAAGACTAAAATACCTTGGAGCACCTCGCTGGCTCAGTTGAAAGAGCATTCGACTCTTCATTTCAGGGTTGTGAGTTCGAGTCCCACACTGGGTTTAGAGATTATGTAAATAAATAAACTTTAAAAAATGTCTGAAATGCGTGTTAGCCAATTAAATAAAAACCAAAGTATAATTTAAGCTCTGTCTGCTGGAATTTCAGTGTTTATTCATTAGTATAAGGGCACCTGGGTGGCTTAGTGGTTGAGCATCTGCGTTCGGCTCAGGTCGAAATCCCAGGGTCCTGGGATCAAGTCCTGCATCCAGCTCCCCCTGGGGAGGCTGCTTCTCCCTCTACCTATGTCTCTGCCTCTCTCTATGTCTCTCATGAATATTCATTGTTAGGAAATCAACAGGTGATTTAATTGTTAAAATTCCATTCTTTATCAGTATATATATAGCTCAGGAAAAAAAAATGATGCTCAGCCTACTCAGACAGTTGTTGATGACACTTACCAACTCTGCATCACTACCTCTATTTTTCCAGCCTCGTTTTTCCTTTTTTCTACTTTCTTTAGGGCCTTTTCTTCTACATTTCTTTTCTCACTGTTTTTGTTTCCTCCATTGACTTTCAGGGCCAACATTTTGGGAGCTTGTCTCTGCAGTGTAGGTGCCAGGGGTTGGGATGCCTGATAGAGTAGGACCGTTACTCCTCAGGGATATGCTCCTTATTTGTGAGATCCCTCCTAATTGGTTATGCTGGGTTAGGGTTTTTAGGAAGACCACAGTGTGGCCCTTTTGTCCTTTGCCATCAGGAGCTCCAGCTAGTTTTCAAGTCTTTTTCAGAGGGAGTTGATTGATATGTAACTGTAGATTTTGTGTGTCCGTGGAAAGACTTGAGTTCAGGATCTTTCCATGTGCCATCTTCTTGATGTACTGATGTACTGATTCTGAAATACCAATTAGTTGACAATGTTCTAAATTCATGAGGAGTTTTTATAAATTCAAAGATGTCTATAAGCAGTGCTGTGCTAATAAATCTGCTGTGTTTAACAATCTGCTCTCAGGAAGAACAGCCTGACTTGTAGCATTTGCCAATGAGTGATGTAAATACTATACCAAACCAATTTCAAGGTACTGTACATTAAAAAGTAGAAAAACATGTGCACAATGGATTCTCAGAGCTGATACGAGCCAGCTCCAGCACCCCATGACCTAAAAAGTTAAAATAATAATAATAATAATGAAAAGCCATTTTTTCCCATTGTTCCCAATTAATCCACTAATTTGTAAACTATTTAATTTGTTTAGAAAGTATCTAGTGAAGGACGTCTGGGTGGCTTAGCGGTTGAGTGTCGGCCTTTGGCTCAGGCCTTGATCCCAAGGTCCTGGGATCGAGTCCCACATCAGGCTCCCTGCATGGAGCCTGTTTCTCCCTCTGCCTGTGTCTCTACATCTCTCGGTGTCTCTCATGAATAAATAAGTAAAATATTTTAAATAAAAAATTTTTTAAAAAGAATCTGGTGACTTGATGTACTATAAATTCTTCAATTCATATATTTATGTCCAGTAATCATGTTCTAAGATTTTCAAGTCATAACAAGATCTGTAATTTTAGAGATAGGAAAGATGGTTTTCCTAAAATATACTTATGTTCTTCAAAAGTAGTATAATTAGTCAGATAAAAGTAGCTTAAACCATATCATGTATAGTTTAACAGCAGTTAAATTTATATTTCAACCTCAGGGCCTGAAGAAAAAGAGAAAGGAAAGGAACAAGTTAGTAATATGTTTATACCATATTTTCTACTTTCTTAAATTCACTGTATACTCATTTGCAAGTAAAGCATTTTTTTTAAGAATCCTAATAAGTTGAATTTTCTCACGGTACAGTAACAGTAAATAACAGTAAATATAATAATACTCAGTAAAACAAAAGACAAGGCATATCAGTAAAAGGTTTGTTGATCTTTCAGCCCAAACTGGAATTGCTTCAAATTTTAGATAAACCTCGGTTTATTGATAAATTGATATATCTATGAATGCTAGCACATTCAGAAATGTTGTAGGTAACAGGCTCTTACCTGTCACACTAGATAGAAGCCTAAAATCAAACTCCTCCTTCATGCTTTTAAGGTTTATGAGATAAAGGTAGAGCCAAAAGCAAGTAGTTTTTTAACAGTGGCAGTTTTTCTCCCACTGAACTGGAATAGACCTATTTTTCACCCCATACATAATTCCATTAAATTGTGACATGACAGATTGTACGGTTCTTTTATCATGTAGAAAAGTGAATAGAACTGTCTGCAACATATTGAGACACATGGAAATAATAATACTTTTCACATGATTTAGGTTAGAAATAAATCAGGTGCAGCATTTCTGCGTTCTTGGTCAAAGATTTTTTTTAAATCTGATATCCTTTCAACCTGTACTTTTTTAAGGGAGCTGTTGATAGTTTGATCAAAGTGCCATGTTTTTATTTTTAAAAGAATGTTGATCATATATTCACATGCTATTGTCCAAAGGATTATAAATGTTTTTAGGTAAATCTAAGTTTTTGATGCAAAGCCATTGATTATGCTGGTCAAGTTTGGTATCTGAAAAATATTAGGAACCATTAATTACAATTAACATTCAAAAAACAATAGCCTGACTGAATTCTAAGTATCTCTGATGATGGATAATTTTTCTTTCTATGTTGGAAAAAAACTATTATAGATACATCAATGCAATGGTTTACATAATTTTGTAAATCTTTATCAGAATGTAGGTTGCCAAGTATAATTTACACAAATTGAGTATAGGAAGTGACAGATTGAAGCAGGTATTAGATTTAATCAACTTCTCTGCGTCCTCTACTCCCCCACTCCTTGCACAGAACTAATACTTTGTTTGACTCAACATTTCAAGAGCCCGGCCACTCAGTAGGTAATGTTCAAGGTGCTTTGGAATCCCGTTTACAGCATTAAAGTTGAATACTACTAGTTCCTTACATCAATTTTGTATTTTAACATTTAGATTTATGGAGAATTTACAAACAGAGGTCCAAGAAATGGAATTCCTTCAGTTTTCTAAAGGTTTGAGTTTCATGAGAAAAGAAGACTTTGCAGAGTGGCTACTTTTTTTCACTACCACTGAAAATAAAGACATCTATTGGAAAAATGTAAGAGAGAAGTTGACAGCAGGAGAGGTTGGTATACCTTTTTATTATGCTTCTTGGTACAGATGAAATAATGTTAGAAATATTTGTGTAATTAAAGTAACTTGCACATTAACAAAAACCATGTTGCTGTATATTATTTAAGTATAAAATCAGGGTGAGAAATGTTCTTTACATACTGTTTTCTTATGAATGAATTATTACCTAAGATAGAATCTGTATAGCAGACATGAGTTTTTGGATTTCCAGTAAAGTCAGGAATAAGACAAGAATGTTCACTGTCACCACTGTTACTTACTATTGTTCTGGAAATCTTAGCCAGTGTAAATTAATGGGATAAAAGAAAATAAACATCTGAAGGAATCACAGTTGTCTTTGTTGCAGAGATGTGATTATATGCTTAGAAAACCCAAGAGAATCAAATTGAAAAGCCATTAGAAACAGTAAAAATTCAATAAAGTTCCTGTTACAGTGCTGATATATTAGCAATAACTGCCCTATGTACAGATTAAAAGTTAGAAAATGTTTAATGGCACTAGTGTGTGTATATAAATGTGAAATGATGATTGCCAAACTACTAATAATGATTAATACACTGTTGTGAGGGACACCTGGGAGGCTCAGCGGTTGAGCATCTGCCTTTGGTTCAGGGCTTGATCCCAGATCGGGCTTCCTGCATGGAGCCTGCTCCTCCCTCTCTCTGTGTCTCTCCCTCTCTCTGTGTGTGTCTCTCATGAATAAATAAATAAAATCTTTAAAAAAAAATACACTGTTGTGAGATTTTAAGTGATTTTTTTAACTTTATGAATTGGTTTTATTATTTCATTGTTCCAATACATGTTTTTGAAGTGGGCATATATTTTTATATAATTTGTTAAAGCTATATCTATAACAAGGAAAAAGGGAATAAGATATAATGAAGATCCCATTTATAATTACAATAGAAACATACAATTAAAAATAAATTTAACAACAAATACATGAAAAAAACTAAAGTTTTGATGGATCTAAAGAAAACTTACCTAATTATATTGACATCTCTGATTATTGAATGGGAAATCTTAATAGCAGTTTCCCCTTAGATTCATCTATAAATGTAATGGTTATATTAGTCAGAACAGCCTAGGTTTGTTGCAATTACAAATTAACCCTGAAATCCCCATGACTAACACAAGAAAGATTTCTTTCTCAATCATGCTACATTCCCATTGTGGGCTGGTAGGAGGCTCTGCATACAGTTGCTCAGTGACCCAGACTCTCCCAAGTTCTGTCATCTTGGAGCTTTACCATCTGGAAAAAACATCATCTGCAGAGCTTATGTCAGGAAAAGAAAGGAGGAGTGAGTACATTCCAGCAAGTAAATGTTTTGGCCTAGAAACATCACACTTGGCTATTGACCAGACTAATCACATGACCCCCACGTAACTGCAAAGAGGCAAAAAAGTGTAATCTTTCATATGTGCAGGAATCCAAAGAGAAGAGATAATGGTGAACACTAATGGGTTCCCATAAAAATGCCATTAGATTCTCACAAGTGACCTACACAGACCATAGTTAGAATTTTTTCTACCATCTATATGTTACCTCTTCAAAAACTTAGTTAAAATTTTAAAAGTAAAAATTCCATAAATTCACAAAGGTTGAAAGCAGTAAAACTTGAATAAGACCACACGTAAGGGGGAATCCCTGGGTGGCTCAGCGGTTTAGCGCCTGCCTTCGGCCCAGGGCGTGATCCTGGAGTCCCGGGATCGAGTCCCACATCGGGCTCCCTTCATGGAGCCTGCTTCTCCCTCTGCGTGTGTCTCTGCCTCTCTCTCTTTCTCTTACGAATAAATAAATAAAATCTTAAAAAAAAAAAAAAAAAGGCCACACCTAAGCAGAGAACATGATCCTGAAGGGTCCCTATAAAGAGAAACTTTTTCAGACTTAATTTACTTTTTCAATGGAAAAACTAGTTTTTCTAACTTATTTTTTGTTTTGTTTTTATGTGCATAGGTTTTAAAGTCAGATGAACCAAGGTTCAAATGAATCCTGATATTCCATTTAGTAGATGGTGAACAAATTACTTAATTCGTGAAAGGTTACTTACTTAAGGCTTAAAGAGGCTAAGACCATGCACATAGTAAATGGCAGAACTGGAATTTCAACATAGGTTCCTCTAACTCCAAAACCCAGTGCTCTTACTCAGTGCTGTGGGCAGAAAAGCAAGGAGGCGGACCACTTCACAGTATGTATTAGTTTCCTTAGGCTTCCATAAAAAATACTCCAGGCTGGATGACTTAAACAACAGATTTATTTTCTCACAATTCTGGAGCCTGGAAGTCTAAGATCAGGGTGCCGGCAGGTTGGTTTTCTGTGAAGTCTCTCCTCCTGGTTCACAGACCACCGTTTTCTCACTGTGTCCACACGTGGCCTGTCCTCTATACTTAACATGCAGAGTGAGAGAGCACTGGTAGTCTCTTCCTTTATTTTATGGGGACGCTAGTCCTCTATCAGATTAGAGTCCTACCCTGATGACTTCACTCAGCCTTAGCTGCCTCCCTAACAGCCCTGTCTCCAAATACAGTCATATTGGGTATTAGGGTTTCAACCTATGCATTTTGAGGAGACAATTCAGTGAGTAACACAAGGCCACCCCAGGTCTTGCCCTGCTGCAGGAGACCCCATTCACCCAGTGTGCAGTCTGTGCAACCATACACTGTGGCCTTACCCATTCTTTTTAATAAACTTTCTTAGAAAGCTGTAAAAGTTCATAAGCTTTATGATAGAAACAGGACTTGTGTGTATATTCTAAGATTATTTAATGTATTTACAAATTTGTAATTAAAATTCACTTTTGTTATTTTATTAGAGTATTAGTTTGGATGAGTTCAAGTCATTTTGTCATTTTACGACTCACTTGGAAGACTTTGCTATTGCCATGCAAATGTTTAGTTTAGCTCATCGTCCTGTCAGACTGGGTAAGTTATATGACTTAGTTTAATTTTTGTCATCTATAAACAATATCACTCTGTTCTTCAACTAGAATGTATGGCAAGGAGCCAGTTGTCAGTAAAACAATTGATTGGCCTTTTAATTAATTCATTGTGGTTACTCTGGACTTAACACATTGACTCTCACGGTTAACAGTTATTTTATTTGCTTTTACTTCCTTATTTCTCCCTAAGAAGGGAAAAGAAATATTTAAATACCTTCTTTAAAACATTGATTAAGGGATGCCTGGGTGGCTCAGTGGTAGAGCATTTGCCTTTGGCCCAGGGCATGATCCCGGGACTCCGGGATCGAGTCCCACATCGGGCTCCCTGCATGGAGTCTGTTTCTCCCTCTGTCTGTGTCTCTGCCTCTCTCTCTCTCTCTCTCTCTCTCTCTCTCTCTCTCTCTTTCTCTCTCTCTCTCTCTCTCATGAATAAATAAATAAAATCTTTAAAAATAATAATAGCTAGTTAATACAAATTTTTTAAAAAAAATTTTTAAGACTTTATTCATTCATTCATGAGAATACACAGAGAGGAGAGAGAGAGAGGCGGAGACACAGGCAGAGGGAGAAGCAGGCTCCATGCAGAGAGCCCGATGTGGGACTTGATCCCGGGTCTCCAGGATCACACCCTGGGCTGAAAGCAGCGCTAAACTGCTGAGCCACCCGGGCTGCCCTAAAATTTTTTAAATTAAAATAGCCTGCTTCTCTTTCAGTTACTTTCATGACATTTCTCAACCAAATTTATTATTTCAATATGTTCTTAATGAGTATTTTTGGTTTTGTTTTACTTTTCATTAATGAACGTTTAGATTTGTTTTTGCTTCTTATATAATAAAATGTAGATTAATTCCACTTAGACTATTTCACATAGTTGATGAGTTGTCTTATGTTTTCTTTCAGCGGAATTTAAGAGGGCCGTGAAAGTAGCAACTGGACAGGAGCTCTCAAACAATATTTTGGACACCGTCTTCAAGATCTTTGATGTGGATGGTGATGAATGTCTTAGTCATGGAGAGTTTCTTGGGGTTTTAAAAAACAGAATGCATCGAGGTTTATGGGTAAATATTTTGATTTTTTAAATAACTGTATGTTTACATGTAATTAAATGAATGATATTATTACACCTCGAATTTGGGCAAATCTGTAGTCTTAAATGGAAGTTTTATTATTTATAAAGAGATTATAAGCTATGATCACAACACCGAGATATCTCCTAGAGGTGGGATCCAGTATTTTTCTTTGCTTTTTTTTTTTTCTTTTTTTTTTTTTTTAATAAATCTAACCAGAAATCCGGTTCAGAAATCATAGCCTAGAATTTTGCTTTGGGCTCTGTAGTTAGGCACACCTAATTTCAAATCCCAGCCCTGTCACTTTAATAACTGCCTAATCTTGCAAAGCCACTTAATTTTTCAGAGCCTCATGTTTCTCATCTATGTGCAATGAGGAAACAGGATCTCCCAGAAAAAAATTTTGTAAGAATTACATGTAGAATACTTAGTATAATGCCTAAGACACACAAAATACATGTTAGCCATTATCATTGCATTCAAATTCACATATTAGTCTGTGGGACAAATAAAACTCAAAATTTTGTTTAAATTAGAATCTGCTATGCTAGAAGCACTCCCATAAAATAGTCTGCAGGCTGAAAACAAGAGTGGAAAGAGAACTATGTGATAAGCAGGTTAGGCCAGAAGATGAGAGAGAATGAGGGAGAGAATAAAACTATCTATTTACAACTCAGAAAAGCACATTCATTTCCTCCCACAAATATTATTTATGGAAAATGAACATGTATGATTTCTATTAGCAAACGTGTTTTACAAGCTTTGTAGTCACCCAGTACCTCATAGTTAATCGTATCCCTGGAAATTAAACCAGCCTTCACAGTTAACAATTTAATATACCAAGGAGTCTCTGCGATTTCTCAAAAGACACTAAATAGAAGACCTGTAAATCGATCAGAAAAAGAACATATATATACACATACATATGTGTATTATATATATTATATATATTTATATTATATATATAAAATCTAAATTAACTTTTGCTTCTATTTGGCAGATATCCAGTAATGCTTTGATCCTGTGATCACCAGGATACAAATATTTTCTAACCTTTACTTTCTTGTTTAACTGAGAGGAATAATACCCATACAGAACTTTTTAATTCACAGAGCACTTAGGTGAAATATATTATTTCTTCTTAAAGATTCTTATCAAATATAGTTTCTTTTTAATTTAGGCAAGGCTAAACCAAAGTTTTAGGCTTAGAATTTTTATTTCACATGGCTAAATAAAGTTCACCATAAAAAGGGAAACATATCATAAAGCATTATGAAATAATTACATTTTAAAAGCAATAGGTGGAAGATCACCCAAAGTCTTCATTATCTTCTTAGGGAGGAAGTTCCAATCATGTATGCTTAGTCAGCCTCCATTCTTCAGTTACCCTAAGGATATTCTTACATCATGTTCACTGTTTTGTCTTTTATCCTGTCTTACTTACAGTTAGTTCTGTTGCAGTCATCTTTTACAACATAATCTACCTCAAGTACTTTTTGGAGGCATGTGAGAAATAATAAAAGAGCTCACATGAAATCATGTTTAACCTTGAAGAGAGTAATCTCTTTACTTTTACCTTTGGTTAACAGGTACCACAACAACAAAGTATACATGAATACTGGAAATGTGTGAAAAGAGAAAGCATTAAAGGAGTAAAAGAAGTCTGGAAACAAGCTGGAAAAGGTCTCTTTTAGAAAAAGCTAATATGGGAACTATATTGCTCCAAATGTACTAGTAATTTAGACATTTTTTTAAGTACTAGATACTTGTCTTGATTTTCTTTGTAATATAAAGATGCCTTTTATTTACTTTCTGATTCAATAATTTCTTAATAAAATTTCATCAAAGAACTTAGTAAAAATAGATACTGGATTCTGTCAGAGGATCTAGAATTGAAGTAATGCTTTATACTTTGATAAGATGGAAAACCTAGTTATTCACTGACTTCTTAGACACAGTATTACCATGTGCTCTTCAGAAAGGTGTCAGCTAGTACTTACAGAAAAAAATATTTGATACACAGGCCAATATTACATCCAGGAGTCCTGATGATCCCAGTAAGGCAAATTAAATTTAAAACATCTCAGGTTTTCTCATTGTATGTCATATCTCATAAGCTCCTTGTGTATTTTGCTTGTTAGCTGTATATTAATTTTCTCTAAAATAATATGTAAATCCCAATATCCTATGTAAAAACAGAATAAAATATTTATACAGATACAAAAATTACATGTATTGTTTTACATGTATTTTTTTTTTTTATTTATGACAGTCACAGAGAGAGAGAGAGAGAGAGGCAGAGACACAGGCAGAGGGAGAAGCAGGCTCCATGCACCGGGAGCCTGACGTGGGATTCGATTCCGGGTCTCCAGGATCGCGCCCCGGGCCAAAGACAGGTGCCAAACCACTGCGCCACCCAGGGATCCCAGTTTTACATGTATTTTAAACTTTATTTTTTTACAAATGTAAATACTCTCATCCCTTTACAGCCTCATTAGTTTATGTTCTTAAAAACTAGTGTGAGTGGTGGGGCACCTGGTTGGCTCAATCTCTTGATCTTGGGGTTGTAGGTTTGAACCCCCATTGGGTGTAGAGATTACTTTAAAAATTTTTTAAACTCGAGGATCCCTGGGTAGCTCAGCGGTTTAGTGCCTGTCTTTGGCACAGGGTGTGATCCTGGAGTCCCGGGATCGAGTCCCACATCAGGCTCCCTGCATGGAGCCTGCTTTTCCCTCTGCCTGTGTCTCTGCCTCTCTCTCTCTCTCTCTCTGTGTGTGTGTGTGTGTGTGTGTGTCTCATCAATAAATAAATAAATAAAATCTTTTTTTAAAAAGAAAGTTGGTTTTTTTTTTTTTAATTCAAAAACCTAGTGGGGCACCTGGGTAGCTCAGTTGGTTGAGTGTCCAACTGTTGAGCTAAGCTTAGGTCTTGATCTTGAGGTCATGAGGTTTTTTTAAAAAAAGGCAAACAAAAAAAAATCAGTATAATTGGAGGAATCTTGATCATAATATCAGGGTCTCATGGGATATATTGGATTGTGGGTAAATGTTTAAAATGTCATTAAAAATTGGCATTAAATATAAAATGCTGTTATAAATGCATTTTTTAACACAGTAAATGCAAATTATTTTTTTTAAATATGCTTTTCAAACAAGAATTTGGCAAATATTTAAAACATGTTCCATTCCCTGGCTAAATGGCTGATTCTGAGACTAGAGCAGGAAAAGTACCAGATTAGCCTGGAGGACATATTCAAAGGACGACGCCAATGTAAAGGGGCTCTCCCTGGCCAAATATGGTACCATTTGAGTATCAAAGTAATTAATGTCAGTAATGGAACATAGCCTATTGAATAAATTAAGAATCAGTTTACGCTGATAATTAATCAATTGATTACTGGAACAAAAGAAACCTGTCCCTTACAGTTAAATGATAAAGCCTGGAAACATGCTAATCTGCTACGTGGAAGACTTGTATAATTGATGCTTGAGAATGACAAGTGGTAAAGACTTTTGCCCAATTATTATAAAAACACATTTACTTTGCTGCTGATTATGAAACAAATATGTGCTAACTCATTATTTTAGAAATAACTAAATTTGGTGTTTCTTTATTGTAAAACCAGACCAAGGAAAAGGATAAGCAGTACAAGTGAAGGATGTGCATCTTCCATCATTTCCTCTTTTAGCCATAAAAATACTATCTGGCTCTCTCCTGTCTGTCTGTCAATTGTCCTTATGAGTCAACATTAGGAGTGTAAAAGTCAAAAACCAGGATAGTGTCTGGTGTTTTCACAGTCTCAATTTTTCCAGCTTCTTACCTGACACTGACTCCCTCTGCCCACTCTCCAGAACATCCATGGATACCATGCTCCAGCCCTATAAAACTTCTGGCCCATACACCCATGCTTTTCATTTTCATGTTTCCCCACCCCAAAGCATTTACATACACCAGCTTCAAATGGCGATGCTTTTCCTTCTACTGTCCTCGTGGCAAAGTTGTAGAAATCCACCTGCTGTCTACGGATCAAGTATGCCTCTATAAACTGTTAAATCAGGAGCAGGAACAATGCCTTATTCATCTTTATTAGTAAATAAAGAAAATTTTTTTAATCTAACCAACTACCTGACCTATAGAAGGCATCTAACAAATATTTGTTAAATGAAGGAAGAGGAGAAAGAGAAGGAGAAAGGCAAGGACTGGAAGAGAGAGAGGGAAGGAAAGTTTTTTTTGTTTTTGGGGGGTTTTTTTTAGATTTTATTTATTCGAGAGAGGCAGAGACACAGGCAGAGGGAGAAGCAGGCCCCTCACAGGCATCCTGATGTGGGACTCGATCCCTGAACTGGGATCACACCCTAAGCCAAAGGTAGGCTTTCGACCATTGAGCCACCCAGGCGTCCTGGGAATGAAGGCTTTTAGTGTCCATCAACAAGTATGCAAACAACCTACTAGGTTGCCAAGCATAAAATGGTGAAGACAAATGGTCACTGTTGTCATGGAACATAGAGTGTAGAGACTCAAAACTAACCAGAAAACTTTTTTTTTTTAGATTTTATTATTTATTTCAGAGAAGGGGTAGGGTAAGAGCTCCAGCAGAGGGAGAATCAGACTCCCCACTGAGCAGGGAGCAACCCCTGAACTCTAGGATCAGGACCTGAGCCCAAGGCAGAGGTTTAACTGACTGAGCCACTCAGGCACCCCGAGCCAGAAAACTTTTTAAATATGCCATTATAAATTAAGTTTTGTTTTTTTTTTAAATAAAGCAGTGTTAGGGAACAGAGGAGTAGGCTTTCTTAAAACAGGAGTTTCCTTGGGGATCCTTAGGTAGCTCAGCGGTTTAGCGCCTGCCTGCCTTCAGCTCCGGGCATGATTCTGGAGTCCCGGGAATCAAGTACCACATCGGGCTCCCTGCATGGAGGCCTGCTTCTTTCTCTGCCCGTGTCTCTGCCTCTCTCTCTCTCTCTCTCTCTCTCTCTCTCTCTCCCTCGTGAATAAATAAAATCTTAAAAAAAAAGGAGTTTCCAAGAATTGAGGATACAATCTTCAATTTTTCTGAAACAAAAGGAAATGTTCTACAACTAAAAAAAAAAGTCCAAAAATGAATATGTCATTTTCATCATTACTGTATGATTGCGGCAAACAACTTGGAGATCCCATTTGAAAAGAATATGGATAAAATATTTGTATCAAAGAAGCAAACTAGATTTGCCAGTGTCTCCTATTAGGTGCGTGGAGGCAGTCACCTTGAAAACAGCTGTACTTCCTGATCTGAACTGAATCTTCAATCATTTCCTTTACTGTGATTGTGTTGAATAAATGATCATTGAGTCTTCTAATATTTTGGTGGTTATCTTGTATTTCTCTGCTCTTCTCTTGAAGACAGGGTGGTGGTTATCCTATCCTGAGCCTTGCCTCTTTTCTCCTTGTCTACTCCCTTAAAGGACAAAGACCTCATTCACATCTCTGGCTTCTATTCCCTCCCCTGAATTCCTGGCCCATTTACCTTCTGGATGTCTGTTTTGTTGACCCAGTTCAATATGTCCACAACTGATCTCATCATCTCCCCAAACCTTTCTTCTTCACATGTGTTCCTCCATTTCAGTGAATGTCTCTCAATAGACCAAACCAGGGATCCCTGGGTGGCGCAGCGGTTTGGCGCCTGCCTTTGGCCCAGGGCGCAATCCTGGAGACCCGGGATCGAATCCCACGTCGGGCTCCCGGTGCATGGAGCCTGCTTCTCCCTCTGCCTCTCTCTCTGCCTCTCTCTCTCTCTCTCTGTGACTATCATAAATAAAAAATAAAAAAATTTAAAAAAAATCAATAGACCAAACCAGAAACCAATCAGTTGTTCCTGAATCTTACTCTCTTATTCCTCCATATTTAAATTCGAAGTCCTGTCATTTCTACTTCCTTCAAAATCTCCCAAACTTGTTCTCCACCTTCCAGCCCCACTGCCCTGAGCAGTTACTCCTTAGGTCACCACAACAGAATCCTGTAACCCCCATTAAAAGCTCAGTAATTAAACATCCACATTGGTGTTAGACTACCTGGATTCCATCTCAGCTCCATCACTTACCAACCCTAACCTTTGGCAAGGTACTTAATTTTTGTGTCCATTTCCTCGTCTAAAAACTGGGAATGATTATAATTCTAATAGTGTGTTACAAGGATTAAACAAGATATATGTAAAATGCATGGCAGTAAATCCTCATTATGTGTTAAATTACTGTTGTTAACTTCTTTCAAATCTGCCTTCACACCAGTTGTTTTATTTATTTTTTTAAGATTTGTTTATTTTAAAGACAGTGAACAAGGGAGAGGATCAGAGGGAGAGGAAATCTCCAGCAGACTCCACACTGAGTAAAGAGCCTATCGTGGGTCTCAATTCCACAACCCTGAGATCGTGACCTGAGCCAAAATTGAGTGGGACTTTTTTTTTTTTAAGATTTTATTTATTTATTCATGAGAAACACAGAGAGAGAGAGAGGCAGAGACACAGGCAGAGGGAGAGGCAGGCTCCACGCAGGGAGCCCAACACGGGACTTGATCCCAGGTCTCCAGGATTACACCCTGGCCTGAAGGCAACGCTAAACCTCTGAGCCACCCGGGCTGCCCTTGAGTGGGACATTTAACCAGTTGAACCACCCAGGGGACTCACACCAGATTAATTTTTCTGAAATACAAATCTGATCATGTCACCACTACTGACAATCCTGTGACACTACAGTCACTACAACATAAAATTCAATTCCTACATGATCTTGTCCCTACCTAGCCTCTCTGGCCTCCTCTCCTAACCCTCCCCCACACACCTTACACCAAAACTATCTGCTAGCACCCAGCTGGCCATGTTCTCATTCCTGGACCTGATAGTGCTTCTGGAAGATATTCCCACCTGGCTAACTTCTTCAAGTGCTACTTCATTTGTGAAATTGTCCATTTTTCTCCCTACTTTTCCCTCAAACTCATTTAGGCATTCCCTCTCTCAGTTCCCTCAGCATCTTTTTTCCACCTGTTTCAAACCTCACCAAGTGTACTGGGATTCTTCATTTGCCTCTCTCACTCAACTAATACCTCATTAAGAACAAGGACCTGTAGTTCTTTTAACACCATCTCCCCAGCATCCATCAAAGATCTGGCATATAACAGTTACTCAAAAAGTATGGGAGAAATAAAGAAGAAAGAAAAAGGAGGAAAGGAGGGAGGACATAAAAATGAGACAAGTAATA